GACAAGGTTGCTAAAGCAAGGTGGTAGCCCTTTGTACCATTCATCGAAGTAACCGAGAGCGTAGGTGGTGGAGCCGTGGTCGAGGTAGCCGTGCAAAAAATTGTTGTGGTCGATGTCGAGTCGAGGTAGCCAGTGTCGATGAAGATGTCGTGGAGCCGCGGGCGCAAGGGGGCGCCGAGTTAGCATGGGCACAGTGGTGTCAAAGTAGTGGTGCGCTGAGAAGAAGATGTTGTTGGCGACACGTCGCGACGGGTTTGCCAAGCCCGGGGACACATCGTGGATGAAGGAACGCACCGGTGTTGCCAGCATCGAGCATGCATAGATGGTCGAAGACGAAGTTGACGAAGCGCCGACCAGGCTTGCCAGGCCCGGGGACACGTCGTGGATGAAGGCACGCATCGGTGTTGCTAGCATCGGGAATGCGGAGACTGTGACCTGCACGAGCCGTACGCCATGTCGGATAAGTCAGAAGAGCCAGCTGAAGAACTCGACGAAGGTTGCGGCGCCAATCGGCGCGAGGCCGATGTCGCCCGCTGTTGTCAGAGTAGACGAAGTGGTCGGGGTAGATGATGGCGACGCTGGCAACAGGCTGGTGCTGGACGAAGACGAAGGAGGTGGACAGGCGGCTACGTGGGTAGCGGCGGCGGTAGCCAAAGAAGAGCGGCGGCGGCTAGGTTAGGAGCGCGGAGGCGATGCTCGAAGTAGGCAAAGAACCCTGACAGCGTAACGAAGACCGGCGCAGACGGTGGCGTTCCTACGCCAAGGGAGACGGAGCAGCCATACCACAGAAGTCGACCCGCGGGGATGGCGAAGTGGACCGCGGGCCGCGGCGCTAGGGCCCGAAGGGGTGACGCAGCGGTGGCAGGCGGGGAGGGGCGACGGCAGGAACACCTCGGGGCAGCGGCGGGGACCACGGTCCGCGACACAACGGCCTAAAGGGGCGATGCAACGGCGGCTTGCGAGTCGGTGCAGCTACGGGGACGGTTGCTTGGACCGCGTGACACGCTCGCTACGGTCGGATAAGGCGATGCAGTGGCGGCACGAGGGTCGGTGCAGCCACGGGACGGCTTGGAGCGTACGGCCTCGGGGAGGCGGGGGACCGCGGGGCGCGACAGTACGGTCCTAAGGGGCGACGCAGCGGTGACGCGAGTCGGTGCAGCCGAGAAAAGAACCACGGGGCGGCGGCGCTGTGGCCCGACGGGCGACGCAGCGGCAGCCCGTTGCTCGATCGGTGAAGGGGCGCGTTGAACTCAATATGGTCTTCACGGGGCCTGCGAATGCGCGCGCAAACCAACGGGCCAGGTCGGTCGCACGGCGTAGATGATGCGGTTTGTGGCGGCGGGCGGGTGATCGATCCGATCGCGCGTGAGGTCGAGGACACCGCCCGGTGAAGGCGGCGTGGCGGCGGAGTTCGAGATGAAGCCGGCGTTGATGGACAATGTGGGACGACATGCAGACGAGCGCGTCAGCACCAGCACCCGGGCCATCAAAGCAGCGCCGGCGCCCGGGCAGCGAGGCCCGAGGGACCAATGGAGCAGCGGCGCCCGAGCTCGAGGCAACCGACGGGCCTGACGCAGCCGGCACGACGTAGCAGGGATGAGGCCTGCGAGGCAACCCGCAGGGCCACCATGCAGACGCGGTGGAGGCGGTGGTGTGGATCCATTGGTGGGCCAGCGCGCGAGCGGCGGCTATGATTGGCCGCCGCTTGCCGCGAGGCCGCCGGGTGGAGGCGATGCAGGTGTCCCAGTCGGAGAGGGCGGATACGGTCGGTGTAGATCGACAAGCGGGCCGGCGCGCAGATGATGGCCGTGAGGGGCCGCCTTTCGCGCGAGGCCGCCGGGTCGATGAAGGAGCTGGCCGATCACGATGGTGTCGGAGTAGAGGCGCACGGTGGTCGACAGCAGCGGCGGGCAACACAAACCGATCAAGCATAGATCGGAAAACAAAAAAACGCCGATCAAAACGACCGACGAGAGCGAAAAACCCGGAATAAGGGCTCGGAAAAAAGACTCTCTAGAGCAGCCGGCCAACACGGCCGGCGAACGAACCCTAGGTATAGGCGGCACGGCCCCCGGCGACGATCATGGAGGACGACCGCCCCGGAGCAGCACGCAGGTGCGGAAGCGGCGGCGGCTAGGGTTTAGAATCCGAAAACTGATACCATGTTAGAAGGGAGAGAGGGATATGGTGAAATAGTTTGTTGTATTGCTTGAGCCTAATGGGCATATATATATAAAAATACATGATTTATTTGAAGTACAAGATAAGGCAGAATATTTCTAATTTATTTCATGTTTGCTAATACAATCATATTACTCAACAATATGCATCATCCAGATGCAAAACAATATGCATCATCCAGATGCAAAAGGCGGGGTCTCCTTCTAAAAAAAAGCAACGGAATGAACCGTGAGATAGTTGGCCCAATTCACTGTGCTTCCTCGATATAGAATCCAAGCAGACGGGGTGGATGGAGCTCGCGGAAACGGCGAAAAAATTCACGACCGGAGGCTTGGTGGAACCAGCGCCTTGGATACCGCCGCCGCCGCTGGCTGCGTTGTGCCTTCCATTGGTCTTCGGTGGTATGCAGTGCAGGAAGGTTAAAACGATTAAACGAGCGATTCCTCGTCTTGCTGGGCCTGCTCTGGAGTTAAGGCCCTTCAAAGTCCAAACTAACCAAATGTAGCCCATCAAGGCCGAGCAATCAGCAGACATCTCCCGTCCGACTTCCGACTGCTCGCCGTCGCCGCCGCGAGGCGTTGTCCACCTCGCCGTCAAGGTCCCCCACCTCCAACGACCGGTGCCTCCGCCCCGCCTGCTCCCCGGTTCGGCTAGCCGCACCCCGCGCCGTCTGCTATAGCCAGCAGCGGATCGCATGCTGTTCCACGCCGGCGAGAGGACTCGGAGAGCGCACGGGGCATGGAGGCACAGCTTCGGTGGCCGCTTGCTCACCGTTTGATGTGCTGATGCTTCCTCCGGGTTCGCCGCTCCTGCTCGACAGCTGGAGCGAGGTACTGAACTGAACATTGTACTTCTTGGCTCGATGTGCTCTGTACATTTGTAGTTTGTAGAATTGGTACTTGTTTTTGTTGAATGAAGCAAATCGATGCTTAATGTTGTAATTTCAGGATTTGAATATGGTGGCAATACTCATTACTCCCTCCGTTTTTAAATATAAGACTTTTAAGAGATTTCACTACGGACTACATACGGATATATATAGACATATTCTAAAGTGTACATTCACTCATTTTGCTCCATATGTAGCCATATTGAAATCTCTAAAAGAACTTATATTTAGGAACTTTAGGAACACAGGGAGTACTTATTTTCAAGCAGACTGAAAATATAAACACTTGTGTCAGCAAACAACAGATAACAAAAGTGCATCTGAAATGGCCAACTGGTTATTTCAACCTGCTATTATTTGGTCACTTGGTTTACACTTGGAAAGCAGGAAATCCACATTACACCTGAGGATATGAACCTTACTTACTGCACAACTTATCAAGAAAACGAGAGAAGGAAACCCTCCATGGCTCGAGGAAAAACAGAGCTCCAAACCAAAGCCAAAAACCAAAAACAACGCCAAGAATTACAGAGTAACACAACCCCACATCGCTTCCGAGTTGCTGCGTGTGGTCTTGATCAGTTCCCTCACCCAGACAATGTGCGCTCAACGGGAAGCCACAAAGCCCCAGATTGTTGCCGTAAATTGATGGGTCTACAAGTGTCTGTAGCTGACTCCCCGTCGGAATGGAGCCTGTTAAACGGTTGTTGGAGAGATTTAACACACTGAGGTACGGCAAATTTGAGATGCTGGGTGGGATAGGACCTGAAAGTTCGTTCCATGAGAGGTCAAGGAACTCCAGGAGCCCCAAACTTCCAATGCTTGGTGGAATACTATCCGACAGATCATTTCTTGACAAGTTCAAGAATCGGAGACCTTGAAGGTATGTTAGCTCGTTGGGGATGTCGCCTGCGAGCAGATTGCTTGATAAATCGATGCCTGTCATTAGTTCAATTGTTTTCTGAAAAGTTTGCTCACGACCCTTCCAGAAAATGTTAACTCTCTCTCGGTACTCGTCCACTGACGACAAGCTATCAGGTGGCATAGTCCTTCTAGAAAAAATAGAAATCCGTCTCAGTTGGACAACATCATGCTTTTCAGAAGATGTTGTTCTCCAAGACGAGAGTTGTTCCATCATGGATGATAAGTTGCCGAATGTACTTGGGATGAATCCAGTAAAGCTGTTGTTTGACATGTCAAGTACTTGCAGATTAGAAAGCTGGGATATCTCGAATGGAATGACACCACTAAAATTGTTGGATGGGAGGCTCAGAACTCGTAGAAGGGGAACACTTTTTCCAATCCAAGCAGGAATAACACCGAAGAACATGTTGTTCCCAAGATCTAGTGTGATGAGCTTACGGCAACAGGTTTCAATGACAGATGGGAAATCCCCAGAGAAGCTATTGTTAGCAAGATGGAGTGATTGGAGAGGGAAGTCACTCAAGCTTGTCGAGATAGGTAATTTACCCCAGAACCCATTGCTGGATACATCCATAAATACCACTGCTTGTAGTTCCCGCCAGCAACTTGGGAGCTCACCAGTGAAGTGGTTACTTGATAGATCCAGTAACTGGAGAGAGGTCAATCCACACAAGGCTGCAGGAATGTTTCCAGACAGGCGATTGTTGTCCATGGATAGAATTGTTAGATTGGTGCATTGTGACCAATCATGCGACAGGTTCCCTGTCAGCTGATTCCCCGAAACATCCAAGAAGTCCAAGATGGGATGGACACTAAACACCTTTGAGATGTCCCCAGTGAATTGGTTCTGGTCCAATCTCAAACAGAATAGGGATGTGCAGTTCTTGAGGCACAGCGGTAGCGAGCCGCTGAAGTTGTTATGGTTCACCATGAAATTCTCTACCATGAGGCCATCACACAGACTCTGCGGCAGTTCTCCGGAGAAGCTGTTCTTCGCGAAGCTCACGTCGATCAAGCTCAGCCCCTTACCGAGGTCAGCGGGTAGGTTGCCCCCAAAGTTGTTGTCGAACAGGCTGAGGTACTGGAGATTCCTGAGTGATGTGATGGTGTTGGGCAGCTCGCTTTCCAAAAGGTTGGTGTTGACATCCAAGACTTGCAATGCTGTCATGTTGCCAATCTCCGGTGGGATCGTTCCAGTGAGCTGGTTGAAGAAGAGCTCCAGCCTCATGAGCTGCGTGAGGTTGCCGAACGAGCTGGGTATTGGCCCTGTGAGCAAGTTGGCGGACAAGTCCAACTGGCTTAGGCTCACCAACTCGCCAATCTCTACCGGAATAGAGCCGGTAAGGTTGTTGCTGTAGAGATAGATTATTTTTAGCTTGGTTGCCTTGCCTAGCTCTGGCGGAATCTTCCCAGTGAACGAGTTTCGCTGCGCTTGGAATGCTATGAGCTCCGGCCAGCTCATGAACAAAACTGCCGGAATTTGACCAGTGAGTTTGTTGAACTCTATGCCAAACTCTTGTATTTTGTGCATCCCGGCCAACGCCCGCGGCAAGATACCGGTGAACTCATTCGCCGACAACTCCGCAAATTGAGATTGCCAAGGTTGCCCAGCTCCGGTGGAATAGTGGAAACCAGGCCTGTGCCGTTCAGGCCAAGGTGTTGCAGCATTTGGAGCCGGCCAAGAACCGGTGGGATCGCCCCACCGAGCGGGTTGTTGCTGAGTTCAAGAGCTCTCAACTGAGGCATGGACCCAAGAAAATCGGGGACGCCACCCGTGAGGTTGTTGGTTGCAACCCGCAGGTCCCAGAGCTTCCTTAGCTTCGACAGCGATGCTGGTATCTGGCCAGAGAAGGCGTTCAAGGACAAGTTGAGGTACTTGAGGTTGGGTAGCTTCTCCGGTAGCGAGTTTGGTATTGGCCCAGAGATATCATTCTCCGATAGGTCAAGGTAGGTGATGTTGCCGCTCTCGAGAACGAACTCTGGAAAGCTGCCGGTGAGGTAGTTGAGGTAGAGCGACATGAAGATGACGGTGGGCATTGGCGAGAACTTGCGGTAGTCCCTGTTTTTCAGGAAGTTGGAGCCCAGATCAAAATGCTTGATCCTAGGGAGCCTGCTCAGCTGGTGGGGGATTGCATCGGCGAGGTTATTGTTATAGAGACGCAGGTCGACAAGGCCAGAGAGGTCGCCGAGCTGAGGCGGGATGGGGCCCTCGAACCCATTGCTGCCGAGGTCGAGCACGGCAAGGGAGCGCAGCCGTGAGAGGCTTGCTGGGATGGCGCCGACAAAGTTGTTACCATTGAGGTCAAGCACGATGAGGGCGGGAAAAGCTGTGGTATCGAGCTTGTTGAGCGTGCCAGCGAGGCCTATCCCCCGGAGCCTGAGGGATTCGACACGGCCGGTGTTGTTGCAGGACACGCCAAACCAGGAGCAAAGCCCGGCGGCTTTGGCCCAGCTGGAGAGCGCGTCCGGGTCACCCAGGTTGGCCTTCCAGTCTAGGAGCACCTTGGCCTCTGACTCCGTGGCGGCATGGCTGACGCCGGCAAAAACCAAGAGGGTGAGGACGAGGAGGATGCCAGTGGTGAAGGCGGCGTCTGGCGGCGGCGTCATTGGATGATGGCGTGTGACTACTAACGCTAATTTGGTAGAACTCGGACTCGAGATTATTTACAACAGGAGGGGGTTTAGACGATCGACAAGTATTCCGTGCGTATGTGTGCGTATCAGCTGCTTGTGGGGTGTGGCATCTATTTCCTTTGGAAAATTTCTTTGCCGGCCACTGATTTCAAGTCAAGGTCCACTAGTGCCTGATTACCGGCCGGGCTCAGTGGAGTGGAGAGCCAACCATAGCTAGCTCTTTCTCGTAAATCATTTCCCGTATTTGCAGGGTAGGGTTATTTTACTGTCTCTTACATCCAAATCCCCCATGCTGCCATGATCTGTTTCTAGCGTTTACCTGGCGTGATGCTTTTTGAGTAAGTGAGTGTGTGTGTTGGTGGCATGGCCACTCTGTTGTTTGTTGTATGTAGTTTTCTCCTCCTTTAATGCAAAAGCAGAGCTCCTGCTGGTTCACGTCAACAACAAAAATGCTGCCATGATCCCCACAGATATAACAAGAAAAGGGCAGCCCCAAAAGAGGTGGTGCAAAGTTTCTTCTTGCTGGCAATTTAAGGGAGCACAAGTATTGCTCTGAAGGCTTTTTCTTGTACTCCCTCTGATCCATATTACTTGTCGGAGCTTTAACAAAAAAAAAGTATAAAGTTGTAATAAAACTGCGATGAGTATATGGATCAGAAGGAGTAGCAAAATTTCGCAATCTATCATGGAAAAGAGGCTTGAAGAAGACTTCATGGTTTGGTTGACATGAGCCTTTCCAAATCCATTAAAAATCTGGTGGTTGTGCAATTTTAAAACCAATGATTACTTTGTAGGCTTTGACAAATGAAAGAAAAGATTACTTCCCAAATATAATTCGAACGATCCAGATATGCTGTTGCTTCTTGAGCAGCCACCTGTGAGGTAATATCTTCCATCGCAATAAACTCTTGTTAAGCTTGTTGTAGAGGCAGATGAAAAAGGTCTTCCAAAAATTATGAAGCACTTGGTGGACTGTTAAATTTATATTTTTAGCAAAAATATATGCTTGGGGTGGAAACTGCGGATGTAAAAATGTGCAAACCAGTCCCAAAAAGGGCAGGTTTGTGATCTCCTAATGAACATTTGGTCATATACTCCCTCCATTACACAATGTAGGGTGCCGATGCTTTTCGAGATTTAGGTTTGGCCATAAATTTAACCAACATGGGCTATTGCGGCGGGAGCAAAATTTATACCATTGGTTTAGTATTAACTAGTACAGTCGCTCACGTTGGTTAAATTTATTGTCAAACTTAAACCTCAAAAAACGCGGGCACACTACATTATGGAATGAAGGGAGTATTTGTACGGATCCAAAAGTTCCTTATTTGCTTTCCACCTAAAAGGGCCTTCTATATGGTTACCAGGGATGCTAGAGTGAATTGCAGAAAACCACCACATTAAGCCTAGATTTGCACAAAACACCGGTTTATGTTTTCTCGCCAGAAACCACTAATTTGTGGCCTAATCTTTTGCAAAAAAAAACTAGTTGATGACTTTGTCCATTTGATGACAAATGGAGCCCACCATTTGCTGACGTGGTGTAACGTTCATGATAAACATTTTTAGACGTGTCTTTTTGCAAAAAAACTCCTCCCTCCCTGAAACTACCCCGATCCAGATGGGGATCGAGCAGCCTCCTCGTGTGAGCTTCTATAACCCGAGGAGGAAGGAGGAGGCAGTAGGCCGCGGTGTCCGGCGACTTCGTGCTCGCGTTCCAGGTGGGTGCCCGAGGGTGCCAGGTAGGTCCTAGGGGTGGGCGGCCACCCCGTGCTCGCGTTCCAAGGTGCCTGGGGGTGCCCTCCTCGACGGATACAGGTGGGTGGCCGGGGAACTCCTGGCTACAGAGCTTCCTCGCGCAGGGGAGGCCGGTCCAGAGCGCATCACTGGCAAGCTCGGCGGCGGCGCCGCCTCGTGAAGGCCTGGATTCGGGCGAGGAGCCAAAGGGGCCGGCGCATGCGTTCTTGAACAAACGAGCTCCAGCTACCACGAGGATGGCGGCAGCTGGCCGTGCTCGAGGTCTGGGCTACTGGACAACGATGAGGGCACTCGCCGGCTGATGGCAACACGGGAGGGTTATTTAGAGAGGGAGAGAAGAAGAGGATTGACTAATCAATGCGTCGGCCCACCCGCCTAGCCAGATTCGTCGCCGACTACCGCAGTAGCCATGCGCGTGTGCCCGTGCCCTCTGCTCCCGCTCCGGGCGACGAGGCCCATGGCAGGCATGCTGCTGCTCTGCTTGGGTGCTTGGGAGCCCAAATCTGATTTGGAGTTGATTGCTTTTTTTAATTATTGAGGGATGTCCCTACACTGGTAGAAAAAGGGCCTGTTGTCCCGGTTCGTAAGGGCCTTTAGTCCCGGTTCCTGAACCGGGACTAAAGTGTCGATACTAATGCCCTGTACCTTTAGTCCCGGTTCAATCCAGAACTGGGACTGATGGGCCTCCACGTGGCCTGTGCGCGGAGCGCAGGCAGGAGACCCTTTGGTCCCGG